TACAAAGAAGAATAAATGTATCATTAAATGACAAAATTGTTTGGTACCAAGCTACACTGCTTTGCCTATGATGCATGTCCTTTGCACCTCACTGTGACTCTTCCTAAGGAAGCTCTACTAGATCCAAGGCTAGTGAGGAATCTGGGGTAATGGAAATTGGTTTCTTTATGTTAACCATCTTTCTGTAATTACCAATTTATATTTATTTCATTATGTATCTTAGTAGTTGATATGTAGGTTTGATTTGAAATTCTTTTCTATCTATCGTGTTTTTATAGTTGACTGGTGGCCCATTGCATGAAATTCGTGCCTGGGGGTGGGGTGTCCCTCAGCCCAGCCTGTACCCTTTCCAATCTGGGACCCCTCGGGAGATGTCTGACTGCCACTTTAGGCAGGGATCCACAGGGATCGGGCCTAAACTGGCAGTCGGACATCCCTCTCGCTATCTGGGACTGCTGGCTCCTAACTGCTCACCTGCCTACCTGCCTGATTGCCCCTAACCTCTCTGCTTGCTGGCCTGATCGCCCCTAACTGCCTCTGCCTACCTGAGCACCCCCAATGGCCCTCTGCTGCCTGCATGATCTTGCCCCCAACTGCCCTCCCCTGCTGGCTAATTTGGTTCTGATTGGTTGGTTTCTATGCCAGTCAGCATCAAAAGCTCCACTCCTAGGCAGCCATTGGCTCCTCACAGTTCACCCAGATTTGGTTCTGATTGGTCGGTTTCTATGCCAGTCAGCGTCTCCAGGCCTGTCTCTGGGCCTGATCAGAGAGGTGGGGCTCATCAGCAGCCCCCGTGGAGGGCCGGAGAGAAAGAGAAAGAGAGGCGCAGCTGCTGGCGAAGCCCGGAGAGGGAGAGAGATCAACAGCTGCCAAGGAGGCTGCGGATCAGACCCTGCCTCTCTCTCCCAGCCTCTCTCCGGGCCTGATCTGCAGCCCCCTCGGCAGTCAGTGCTGGGTCACTGCACCCGCACCGGTGGCAACCCAGCACTGACTGCAGGACTGACTTCTGGTGTTCGGTCGAGCCTTCAGTTAGTCATTACGGATCCTGAGTTTTTATATATTAGGATGTCAGAAGATTTTATCTATCCTATATAATAAAACCCTAATATGCAAATCAACTGGAAGGTGGAATGACCAGTCGCTATGATGTGCACTGACCACCAGGCAGCAGATAACGCAGGAGATGCTGCCTGGTGGTCACTGTGTTCCCATAGGGGGAGCGCTGCTCAGCTAAAAGCCAGGCTCATGGCTGGTGAGTGCAGCGGTGGTGGCGGAAGCCTCTCTTGCCTCCTCTGCAGTGCTAAGGAGCAGTGAGCCCAGCTTCTGGCTGAGCAGCGCTCCCTGTGGACATCCTCCGAGGAGTCCCAGACTGCGAGAGGGTGCAGGTCAGGCTGAGGGACCTCCCCCCACCCCCCGTCCAGTGCACAAATGTCATGCATCAGGCCTCTAATATATATATATCTCCTATCTAATAAAAAAGAAACATGCAAATTGACCATACCCCCGAATGCTTCCCATTGGCTAATCAGGGCGATATGCAAATTAACTGCCAACCAAGATGGCGGCCGGCAGCCAGGCAGCTGAAGTGAACAGGAGGCTTGCTCGCTCCAGTGACGGAGGAAGCCAAGGTTCCCGGCCTGCGGCAGCCCAGCTCTGAGCTCTGGATGCAACAATATTGCAATTATAGAAAGCTAAACAAGCTCCAGATAGCTGCTTTCAGCCAGCAGCGGGCTCAGAGCTTAGAGCGGCAGTGATGGCAACAGAGTTTCAATTATAGAAGCTAAACAAAGCCCAGATATCTGCTTTCAGCAGCTGAGGCCTCAAGCTGGAGCCGGCCTCAGAGCTAAAGCCGGCTCTCAGCTCCAGTGACAGCCATAGAAAGTAAATAAATCCCAGAAAAAAAAAAGAAAAAAAAGGAGAGGCTGGGAGCTTCAGTCGCCCGCCAGCCTGAAAACGGCCCTCAGCCCCTCATCCAGACTGGCCAGGCATCCCAGTGGGGACCGCCACCCTACAGGGGGTGCAGGCAGCCTAAAAACAGCCATCAGCCCATCCATCATCCAGGCTGGCCAGGCACCCAAGCAGGACCCCCACGCTGATCCAGGACACCCTTCAGGGCAAACCATCTGGCCCCCACCCGTGCACCAGGCCTCTATCCTATACTACAGGCAGGGTGGGACAGCGCAAGCTGCCATCTGGGCCCCATGTGCAGCCCTGAGCAGCAGGGCATAAGCCCTGCCCCCAGCCGGGACCCCTATGTGCCACCTGAGCCCCCAGCCGGGACCCCCGTGCTGCCTAAGCCCTGCACTGCTAAGCCCCACCCCCAGCCGGTACCCTATGACTATTGGAGAGCAGGAAAGTGCCGCTGGGCCCTGGGTTGCTGTGGTGATCCGGCCATCGGTAAGTAGAAAGGTGCGGCCTGTAGGCAGCCCCCAGCTACGCCTGATCAGGGAACAGGAAAGCCCGGCCTGCGGGCAGCCCCAAGCTGCGCCTGATCCGGGAGCAGGAAAGCCCAGCCTGCAGGCAGCCCCCAGCTGGGCCTGCTCCCCGGTTGCCATGGGTATCCGGGAGCAGGAGAGCAAGCCCGGCCTGCTGGGAGCCCCGAGCTGGGCCTGCTCCCCCGTCGCCATGGTGATCCTGGAGCAGGAAAGCCTGGCTTGCAAAGCTGCACCCCCATCCTGGCCATAGCTCAAGGGAGAGTACAACATGCAGTGGAGGCCAGGAGACTGAGAGATCAACACAGAGGGGCTCCTGCTCCAAGCCTCCATGGTGTGGCTGGGGGCAGGCCCGCAGCAGACACATACACACACACACACACACACACACACACACACACACACACAGTGCCTGCTCTGAGCCTCCAATGTGGCTGGGGCTAGACCCCCAGCAGACACACACACACACACACACACACACACACACACACACACACGGGACTCCTGCTCCAAGCCTCTGCTGCCAGACTGTGGCCCTCAGTAGGACATCCACTGAGGGCTCCCGGACTGTGAGAGGGGCAGGCTGGGCTGAGGGAATCCCCAACCCCCAGTGCACGAATTTCGTGCACCGGGCCTCTAATATATATATATATATATATATATATATATATATATATATAAATATAAAAGCTTAAGCAACTGAACTGCAATTCAACTGTTTGACCAGTAGCTATGATGCACACTGACCACCAAGGGGCAGATGCTCAATGCACAGGCATGGAAGCATGGAACAGACTGATGAATCTCAGAGGGAAGGTGGGAGGGTGGGAAGAGATTAACCAAAGATCTTACATGCATACTAGAGGCCCGGGGCATGGATTTGTGCACCGGTGGGGTCCCTTGGTCTGGCCTATGCCCTCTCACAATCCGGGACCCCTTGTGGGATGTCAGACTTCTGGTTTTGGCCCGATTCCCACAGGCCAGGCTGAGGGACCCTACCAGTGCACAAATAGTTTATTCCTTATAAAACTAAACTTTAAAATAGAAAATTTAGCTACATTTATATTTATAACAAATAAATATTAGGAACTCTTAAATAGGTTATTTATATTAAAGAAAGATAATAAATCTTTACTTTTGACTTTGAAATTAATACTTAGAATTATATAAAATTATGGACAAACAGTTCTCTCCTACAATAGTTTATTATTCTTTATTTTTCTTCATTTTTGGTTTTCTTTGAATACTGTTTTATTTGGTTTTTAAAAAATGTGATTAACTTGTGGGGCTTTTCCCCCCAGATAAATTAACTTTAGTACTGGTTTTGTATTTAGAATATTTTTTTGGCTTTTGGCAAAATGATGATGGATTACATCAATATAACCCTACAATTTACTGTGCTGGGAAAACTAATTCAGTCTTAATGTTACCTAAACCATCTGTATCTCTTTATCGTCTGTTTTAGCCAAAAGTTAGATATGCACAGGGCACTAGTAGCATGCCTAGAAAATATCCAAGCCTTGAAAATCTATATATATGAAAGCCTAAGTGACTGAACGACTGAAAAACCGAACGGCTGGTTGCTATGATGTGTACTGACCACCAGGGGGCAGACAGTCAACTGATTGACCAGTTGCTATGACGCACACTGACCACTAGGGGGCAGACACTCACCGCAGGAACTGCCCCATGGTGGTCAGTGTGCTCCCACAGCCAACCTCCCCACCCCCACCCCCCCATCCGCCCTGATAACTGGCCAGGGCAAGGGACCCCACCTGAGCACGAATTTGTGCACTGGGCCTCTAGTGCAGCAGTTCTCAACCCGTGAGTCGTGACCCCTTTAGGGGTTGAATGACCCTTTCACAGGGGTCGCCTAAGACCATTGAAAAACACATATATAATTACATATTGTTTTTGTGATTAATCACTATGCTTTAATTATGTTCAATTTGTAACAATGAAAATACATCCTGCATATCAGATATTTACATTACAATTCATAACAGTAGCAAAATTACAGTTATGAAGTAGCAACGAAAATAATTTTATGGATGGGGGTCACCACAACATGAGGAACTGTATTAAAGGGTCGCGGCATTAGGAAGGTTGAGAACCACTGCTCTAGTGGGTTTATAAAAGAAGATGGATGGAAGAGTTGGTGAGCTTCATTCCTTCATAATAGCCAGTGCACTTATGAGCATCTGATCTAAATCATACTTAAATATTGTTTTCTAGCAAAAAAATTTCATGGAACAGATGCAGTTTATTATGGAGATCTTTTATATTATGTATATACTATTCTTTTTAATATGTTTTGGAATTAACGTGTTAACTTTTTAAAATACATTTTTATTGATTTCGGAGAGGAGGGGAGAGAGAGAGACAGAATCATCAATGATGAGAGAGAATCATTGATTGGCCACCTCCTGCGCGTCCCACACTGGGGATCAAGCCCGCAACCCGGACATGTGTCCTGACCAAGAATCAAACTGTGACCTCCTGGTTCATAGGTTGATGCTCAACCACCGAGTCAGGCTAGCCGGCTTAATGTGTTAATTTTAATTCTAGGATTCTTAATCATTCAACTTCTGTTACAAGAAACAAGCCAAAAGAAAATGTGGAATGCGAAAAGAGGTATAAAATTATTTTAGTTCTTATATTTAATATTTTATGAGACTTGATACTCAGACAGTGATGTTCCCGTTTGTGGATTTTAATTAAATAATTATTGATATTGAATTAATATAACTAGATAGTTGAAAGAGGGAAAGTGTTGCAGCATGAGTTAAATTTACTTTTGGTATAAGCAAATTGAAAAAATGTTGATTTGATCTCCTTTTGTTCTCTATCATGTCTTGATGATAGAATCATTCATTTATTATTTCAGCAAACATTTAGTATATTACTATTACTGCCAGGAATAATGTGTTTCTTCATCGTTGATTGTGTTTATTCTCTATGTTATTTACTTTTTTTCCTTTACAATTGGGTTTTACTAAGTTCTTCTATATGAATACATGTTCTAAGTCCACATATATTAATTCCAGAGAAATAGACACCTTCAAAGTTTCTATTTATTCTTTTTGGTGGTTAGAAAATTTGCATTAGACTCAACTCCAGAGTCATTCCTATGAGAGTGGAAAGGACCAAGGCTGTGGGTGGGATATAGATGTATACATTGAGAGAATTAACATTTGTTGAATGCTTGTTATATGCATAACTCTTCTGAGTGCTTTAAATGTATTCTCACTCAATCCTCATCAATAACTCTATGACTTTGTTACTATTGTCCTTCCAATTTTATAAGAAGACTGAGACTCAGAAATTATTATAACTTGTTCAAGGTCACACAGCTAATAAGTGGTACAGTGAGGTTTCAAACCCAGTTTTCTGGCTCGAGAATCCCTAGTGTGGTTTTAACCACACTCTTGTTAACATGGTAATAAGAATACTTTGCTTCCTTCAGATCTACTCATCCCACTGATGTCTTTTTCTATCTACCTCACAGTCCAAATTTTACTTATTTTTCCCCAAACCTACCTTTTCGCCTATATATTGTGCCTGAGTAAATGTACCGTTATATAGTCACTCAAGTCAGCAACTTTGGAATCATCAGACATTCATCTCTCCCTTTTTTTAAAAAAATATATTTTACAGAGAGGAAGGGAGAGGGATAGAGAGAGTCAGAAACATCGATGACAGAGAAACATCGATCAGCTGCCTCCTGCCCACTCCCCACTGGGTATGTGCCCGCAACCGAGGTACATGCCGTTGACGGAATCAAACCTGGGATCCTTGAGTCTGCAGGCCGATGCTCTATCCACTGAGCCAAACTGGTTAGGGCAGACATTCATCTCTCTTATGCACCCCTCCCTGTCCAGTCAGTCACAGAAAATTATAGCTTCTTAACATTACCAGCATCTATTTCAACCTCTCCATTGCAATTGTGTTAGTTCAGGCCCTACTTTTTCCCACCTGGATTATTGCAACAGCCTCCAGCATACCTCCTATCTTCACTTTTGCCTACCTTTAAATCTATATTCTGCACTGATATAAGAGTGATGGTTCTTAGACACAAATCTGACTATACGACTCCCATTTATTAGTTTCTAATAGTTCTTTCTAACTTTTAGGATAAAGCTTAAAGTGTTTGGCTTAACCCATAAGATTGAAGTGAGTTTCTGCCTACCTTCAGAGCTTCATCTCATGAACTCTTCCACTGGCACCTCTGCAGTTAGGAATAATAATACTATTTTATTTTTAAAATATATTTTTCTTGATTTTAGAGAGGAAGGGAGAGGAAGAGAGAGATAGAAACATCAATTGATTATTGATCAGCTGCCTCCTGCATGCCCCCTACTGGGGATTGAACCTGCAACCCTGGCATGTTCCCTGACCTGGAATCTAACCATTACCTACTGGTTCTTAGGTTGACGCTCAACCACGGAGCCACGCCGCCAGGCAATATTCTTTTCTTTATTCTAGCACAGTTTCACATCTGTTTTGTGTCCTAGTCTGCCTGTTGGGATTACCCTTTCTTCTTCCCTTTTTCACTTACTAGTAGGCTTTCAGAATTCAGTTCAAGCATTAGATGACTTTTCATACCCAAGTTTAGATGCCTCTGTAGAGCTCTTAAGTTTTTTCTGTGTATTGTTCTTGTCTTTGTTACTTTGTCCTGTTAACTCCATCCACCTTTTTCTCCCTGGCTCCTAGCTTTGCTTCCTCAATTCAAGGAACCCCACAGGCCCCACCTTGGTTCCCCCACTTTGGCCTGTGGCCTAGAAATTCTCTTTCCTGCAACAGTCTGACTCAATTGTGAGGCTTGTCTTGTTTGTTACCAATGTCTAAGGGATAGATGTCTTTTTTTTGGCCTAATATTTAAGGTCTTGAAAAGTATAATTTTATATATTTTGTCTGTTCTTTTATTGTTTTCAGTTAGGGTATAAATTTGTTCACTGTTAATTCTATGTTGACAAATAAATGCAAAATCTAATTTTTACATTTTATGTAATTTGTCAGTATTTAGTTTTAATTGTTTTTCCCATATGCCCTGTCCACTCCAACAATTTTTCAGATATTTATGTGATTTTATCTTTAGTTATATTTAAATCTTTCAGTCCATTGATTTTGGTATTTGATATGATGTTAGAAATCTAGTTTTTTCCTTTCTCCCTCCCTTCCTCTCTCCTTTTTCTCACTCCCTTTTCTCCTTCCCCCCTTTTTTTTCTTTCAGTATTTTATCATTGGTTAACCAGTTGTCTCATCACTGTTTGTTACATAATCCATCATTTCCACAATGCTTTTAAATTTCATTTTTATCATAAGTTGTTCTAGTTGTGGTCCTCTATGTCTGTTCCACTGAAAAATCTGTAGATGCTAAAGCTAGTACTAATGTATTTCTGTAATTTAATAGAATATATGTAACTTCCTAGTCGATAAGTCCCTTTATTATATAACTTTTCTTGGTCATCCATTCTTCCAAATGAACTTTGTAACTCTTTTATCAAATTTCCAAAACAAGCCCAAAACTACTTCTTGTATTTTTAAAAATTATTATTGTAGTTCATTTCAGCTATCAGTTTGAAGGAGAGGTTATATCTATAATATTTAGTCTTTCTGTCCAAGAACTTTCCAGTCACTCAAGTTCCTTACTAGACAATTGTAGTTTTTCCATGCGGGCCTTGTGCATGTCTAGTTAAGTTTTTTCCCTAGGTATCTTCTACTTTTCCTTTCCTTTATAAATGAGGTGTTTTCTAATATATATTACTAGAGGCCCGGTGCACAACATTTGTGCACTTGGGCGCAGTCCCTCAGCCCAGCCTGTGCCCTCTTGTAGTCCGGGAGCCCTCGGGGGATTTCCACCTGACAACTTAGGCCCGCTCCCCACAGTCGGACACCCTTAGCACTGCTGCGGAGGTGGGAGAGGCTCCCACCACTGCCACTGCGTTTGCCAGCGATGAGCCCGGCTTCTGACTGAGCAGCGCTCCCCTTGTGGGAGCGCACTGACCACCAGGGGGCAGCTCTTGCACTGAGCATCTGCCTCCTGGTGGTCAGTGCATGTCATAGCGACCGGTTTGTTCTGCCGTTCGGTCAATTTGCATATTAGCCTTTTATTATATAGGATAACTTGTTATAATTAACATATAGGAAAGCTCTTAACTTTTGTATATTTTTCTATAACTTCTGTTAATAATAGACTTTTTGTATTTTTCCCCCTTAAGCAATTAAATTTTCTATAAATTTTGGAAATTTGTTTCTTTCTAATTTTTAAATGTTCTTTTCTTACTGTACTGTACAGAAGTTTCATAACAGTGTTGAATAATACTAGTAGGCATTTGTTTGTGTATTTTTTCTAAAGGAACTCCTTGTTCAAATCTGCTATCTAGCAATTGCATGAAGTTTACCTTACTCCACGAATAAACTAGATAAAAAGAATTTTTACCATTGCCCTATGTTTCAGAATGAAATGTTACAGGCTCATAATCAGTAATTCAATAAGCAAAAAAAATTACTTGGTTTTCTTTTTGTAGTTTTGGGTAATAATTTTGATATAATAAATATTATGTTCTTTTTATGTCTCTAGATATTATATTTCTTTTGGTCTCTGAAAAGTCCTTAGAGTAGTCCTATGCTTAGGGTGACATTAAGTAGGCCCATTTTGATTTTTTTTTTTTAAGGATTATAATTGGGGAAGTAAATGTGTTTTTGTCAACTTTAAATTTTATATTATTAGTTCAAAGCATAGGCATGAGTAAATTCTTTAGATTTCTGGTAGAAAAGAAAAGACAATTTTATAAAATCATATGCATTACTTCTTGGCCTTTTGGCTAAGATCCTGTGTATAATATCATATTCATAATGTATACCTAAGGGTAATTCTAAATATTTTAACATATTAAGGCATCTTTAATTTTTTAGTGTCTCAGCAGATGAAGTTAATTCACCATTATCACCACTCACATGGCAGGTAAGAGGAAATGAAATTATTATAATATCTATTATTTTGTTCTTATTTACTTAGTTAAAAGCAATTATCTTATTACAGCCCTTAGAAAATCAGAAGGATCAAACAGATGAACAACCGTGGCCAGAATCTCAACCTATAATCTGGCAGAGTGAAGAAAGGAGGCGGAGCAAACAGATTAGAAAAGAATATTTCAAGGTACTTTATTAAAGTTGTAAAATTTACTTTGTAATTAGTTTTGATCTTATCAGTTTTATTTTATGCTAATAAGGTAGAATATAACTCTGGTTACAATATAGTAAATGTGTCATTTTATCTTAATTTTCTACATGTATGTGAAAATTATTAGAAACAAATAATAAAAATTATTATAATATTTCAGTAATTCAAAATAATTAAGAATGAGTAGATCAATCTGAATTGTGGTTTGTCAAATTCTTTACAAGAAAGATGTAATGTTTTACACTGCTGGTTGTAGCAATATGTAGTAACTAGAGGCTCGAAGCACGAAGATTCGTGCAAGAATGGGCCTTTCTTCCCCTGGCTGCCGGCACTGCCTTCGCTCTGGCTGGAGCTGCCTTTTTGCCTTCCCACGCTGCCCAGAGGCCTGGAGCAGCTGGGGCGGTGCAGAACACCTGCATCCCACCCCACCCCTGGCCACTCAGTGCCTGCATATGCAAATTAACCCACCATCTTTGTTGGGTTAATTTGCATACTCACTCCTGATTGGCTGGTGGGTGTCACGAAGGTACAGTCGATTTGCATCTTTCTCTTTTATTAGTGTAGATGTTTTAAAAGAATTGCCCCAAGAAGGTCAATTATTGGATTTGTTTCAATAAATAGCATGTATTTGCAATTAACATTTAATTGTTTCTGTGTAAATACATGCTATTTATGTGGTTCTAAAAAATGATTGAAAGTGTTTCCCCTGCCATTTTCTTTTATTCTTATTACATTAGTAGATTTCTTAAGGTGATCCTTTAAATTAAAAGCTCAGACCATCTTGATTATTCCAAAAATTTTTTTCTCTTTCTTTATTGATTAAGGTATTACATATGTGTCCTTATTCCCCCCATTTCCCCTCCCACCCCACTCACGTTCATGCCTTCACCCCCCTGATGTCTGTGTATCCAAAATTTTTAGTTAACATAGTTTTAATGTAATTTTACTATGTAGACATTTATAAATATTGTCATATTATCTATTTGTGGTTTAGGTCTGCTAATTTGCAGATGCCAGTCATTGGAATTGGAATAATCTTTAGTTCAAGTTAGAATCCATTATTGGAATTTTTGACTCAAATGAATAGTTCAAACAAGCTTCTCACCCATGAATAACAAATTCTGTTGTCTTTGTTCCCCTTTTCTGTTTCCCAAAGCCTAATTTTTATTTAATAATAATAATAATTGCCCAGCAAGTGTGGCTAAGTGATCATTTCATCCTTCAGCAAATAATTGCTGAATATTTTTAATGAGGTTCTTGTTACCTGGTCATGTGAGAGATAATGAAGAAATAATACGTAGGGAAGAGGGAAAGACATTCTAAGCAGCACCCTGTTCAGTAATGGTGAAATCTATTTATCCCAACCTTTTACAGATCTATAGTTATATTTATATATTGGCATTTATTTTAAAGTCCTCTCTTTTAGTTTATGGAGCTTTGAACAGAGGCATTCAATAAAATATAATAGATGAGACTTAATGAATGACTGATGATGTGGGGCAAATTTTAGTATTTCTAACTAATAAAAGAGATTTTACTATATTTATTTAATCTACTGGTATAATAAAAGCATACAAAGTCTATTTATCAAAACACTTAAGTGCCAGTCACTAAGTATTTTAAAAATATTGACTTATGTAATCTTCGTAACAACCCTATTAAATAAGACAATTATCAGTTTTATTTTACAGATGGGGAAGTTAAGACACAGAGAGGCGATGTTCCGGTCACTTAGCTAATAAGCATCTAAGTCATGATTTGAACCCATAGTGTATGCTATGCTGCCTGTTTACTTAATGTAGATAGCTTAATAGCAATGAATAAACACTTTCAAATCAATGCATTTTATTGTTTTAAAAATATTTTACAGGTGAACTTCTCAATAAAGTCTTAATAGAGGTTTTAGTGACCCTTTAAACAATAATTTGATTAATAGCATCATTTGTTGATAAGTATTTTATTTTTTACTAGAGGCCCGGTGCACAAAAATTTGTGCACTCGGGTGGGGGTCCCTCAGCCCAGCCTGTGTCCTCTCACAGTTGGGACCCCTCGGGGGATGACCACTTGCTGGCTTAGGCCTGCTCCCCGGGGGATTGGGCCTAAGATGGCAATCAGACATCCCTCTGGCAGCCCGGCAGCCCTCAGGGGATGTCCACTTGCCAGCGGGGAGCACACCTAAGCTGCAGTCAGACATCCTTAGTGCTGCTGAGGAGGCAGGAGAGGCTCCCACCACCACCGCTGTACTGGCAGCCATCAGCCTGGCTTGTGGCTGAGCAGAGCTGCCCCCTGTGGGAGCGCACTGACCACCAGAGGGCAGCTCCTGCATTGAGCGTCTGCCCCCTGGTGGTTAGTGTGTGTCATAGTGACCAGTCATTCCCAGTCTTTCTGCTGTTAGGGTCAGTTTGCATATTACCCTTTTACTATATAGGATAGATGCCTGGTGCATTGGAGGGGGCCATCTGGTTTGCTCTGAAGGGTGTCCCGGATCAGGGTGGGGGTCCTGCTTGGGTGCCTGGCCAGCCTGGGTGAGGGGCTGATGGCTGTTTGCAGCTGGTCACACCCCCTTCAGGGTGGGGGTCCCCACTGGGGTGCCTGGCCAGCCTGGGTGATGGGCTGATGGCTGTTTTCAGGCTGGCCACACCCCCTTCAGGGTGGGGGTCCCCACTGGGGTGCCTGTCCAGTCTAGGTGAGGGGCTGAGGGCCGTTTTCAGGCTGGCCTGCGACTGAAGCTCCCAGCCTCTCCTTTTTTTCTTTTTTTTAAAATTCTGGGATTTATTTACTTTCTATAATTGAAACTCTGTTGCCATCACTGGCGCTCCCAGCTCTGAGGCTGCGGCCGGCTGAAAGCAGGTATCTGGGGTTTGTTTAGCTTCTATAATTGAAACATTGTTGCATCTGGAGCTCAGAGCTAGGCCGCGGCAGGCTGGGAACCTTGGCTTCCTCCATCACTGTAGCAAGCAAGCCTCATGCTCGCTTCAGCTGCGTGGCTGCCGGCCGCCATCTTTGTTGGCAGTTAATTTGCATATCTCCCTGATTAGCCAATGGGAAGCGTCGCGGAGGTATGGTTAATTATCCTTTTTTTCTTTTATTAAATAGGATGGCTTAAACATTCCGCCTATAACAGCGGTTCTCAACCTGTGGGTCGCGACCCCTTTGGCGGTCGAACGACCCTTTCACAGGGGTCGCCTAAGACCATCCTGCATATCAGATATTTACATTATGATTCATAACAGTAGCAACATTACAGTTATGAGGTAGCAATGAAAATAATTTTATGGTTGGGTCAGAATATGAGGAACTGTATTTAAAGGGCCAGGAGGTTGAGAACCACTGTCCTATAATATTGCTATTTTATAAGTTGCTAAGAGATCAAATAAAATAATCTTTGAAGTGTCCATTACATAATCATTATTCAACAAATGCTAATTTTTTCCATACAAAGGTAAGCTTCAGTCACTGGGAAATATTTTGAGGAGATCTGTAGTTCTCCTCAGTAGTCAGAAGATGTCAGTGTTAGGACACTTGAACAAAATTGAACTATTATTTCCTAAAATGTAAAAATAATTATAAAGTTGAGATACTACTCTCTAAGTATAAACCATTACTCAGAATGTCCAGTATTTTCATGATTAAAATATCATTGAAGCATTTAACTGTAATAATCTAATAAAAATATCATTGATTTCTATGAAGTGTCTTTCTTTCAAAAAGAAGTTCTCTTAATTACCTATCTTCTGATAATCCAAAGGGTTATTCATAAGATAAATTACTGAAATAAATCTGGATTTATAGTTAATTAAATATTAAAATATGCTACTCCAAAGATTTATATCAAATTATCACTGAGGTCGCTTAGGAATGGTTTCTTTTGCTTTGCTATGTTATGAAACATACAGAGCTTTGTGCAATCTTTGCTTAGTGCATATAAATGACTGAGCCATGGGATTTCTTTGTATTACATGGTAAATTATTTATGGTGCTGTTATTCAGTATATTTATTAAAAGTGTGTGTGTGTGTGTCGCTCAATTATCACTTCTAGTTGCCAAGAGTAATTTTGAGTAGTATGTTTTTTAGAGAAGCCCCTGAAACTAGGTAAAAAATGTTTCAACATATTGGCCAGAATATGTGAGCAAGAAGTTAAATTTGGTCAGATTATATGAGTAAGTAAATCACTGTAGGAGTGTCACATTAACTCTTTCAGACTCCCTGGCCACTGTCATGTACTACTCTAGTAAATACAATTTAATGTCCTTGTTGCCAAAATAAAATCACTGCATTTCTCAAAGTAAAGCTAATCTAAGAAAGACATTACTTTATTTTAAAATCTTTTACAGAAATGTATTCATATTGTTTTAATAAGATACACAATAAAATATGAAAATCTAACCTCCTTATAAATTATTTTTCATATAAATGAATAGCTTTAATTTCTTATAAAAATGATAACACATGAATTTTCTGAATGTATTTGACAATTGACTTTTAAACCAAAAAAGTTAAAGAACGTTAGACTAACTATACTTAGTTACTTTTAAGGATTATTTGATTTCTTGAAATGTCACATATATTTATTTGCCTTGAAATGTATCTCATTACTATTGTAACTGGACAACCAAGAGGTCTGGGCTGCCTGTCACCACTTGAGCCAATTAAGCAGAGACAGGGTTGAATCATATATGAGCGTTTATTCCAATAATGCCAGCAGTATGGGAGAGCAGTAGGTCACCCACAAAGATCTGCTCTGACCTCCCCTTGCCAGTTAGCTGGTTATATACACACACGAGGGAGAAGATAGCTATGCGCAGCTGCGAGCTACAAGTGTAACATGGAAAGGGGAGGGTAGACTCTGCAGTCCGGCCTTCAGGAGCTCAGAGTACGAAAACAAGGTGGCTAATCTTCTATGATGTTACAAACAGCTCAGCCCATTCCTGGGACTGGAGAATGGTCAGCGTTCCTGAAAAAAACTCCTGGAGGG